GCCGGTCACAGGTGCTGGCGAAACATTAGGAAACAAAACTGCCAGAACACGGCCACACAGCCCGGAAGACCCACACCAGTCATTAAAAATATTTGTTTTTACAGCAAACTTTAAGTACAGGAGACATATGGAGTAAATAATAGGCAGAGGAAGAACTGTGGTATGGAAGATCTTCCAAACTGTGTGACAAATTTTGGGAGTTCTTATCCTAGGTCAGATTCTTTGGTGCCTCCCAACAGAAATGTTACAATCCAATTCACCATTGCCAAGATGCTCTTCCCTTAATTCCATCCAAAACAAGCTTGAAACTCCTTTATCTGATTCATCTCTGGAAGCCTTTCCTGCCAGACAAGATAATTAAATGAAACTATATTTTGAGTATTTCTAATATTAGAAGAAAGGGATAAATATCAGGGGATTATTTTGATTTGATGTCTTCTTTGTAAACTTCCGTGGAACATAATAGAAGCATGGATTAGGTTAGCATTTCCCAACCTGATGCCCTCCAGATGTGTTGGATTCCCCCAATGGCTTGAAATTCTGAGAGTTGCAATTTCAACCTACATTTGGAGAACCTGATGAACCTAATGGAACCTCCAAGTGAAAGCCACATAAAAGGCCTAATCACTAAATAAATCACTCCCTTCATCCTGCTCATGTACTACTGCAATTTTTATTTTGCAATAAGTAACCCAATCAAGTTGAGAGCAAATGATTTACCAATGATTTAATCAAACTGAGGATTAGGCAAATGTAGAAACTCAACTCCCCAGATCCAACCACTCCAGTATTCCTTTCATCCATGGAGCTCCTCCTCCTGAATAACTTCCACTTCAAACATTATTTTCCCATCTATTTATCCCTACACCCATCCCTTTTTCTTGGATTCATCAACACTAGTTTGAAACCAGATGCAGGATATCTCTGATCTCCAGTTCAGGGCAGAGTCTTGATCCAGAAATTAAAGGGAAGTAGCAGACCTAGGAATCAGTTATCTAACCAATAACATTCCTGAGTGCCTAGTAAGCCAGTCAGTTCACTCATCTCTTCTTTGCTGGCCTATATAGCAGCTGTCAGTACACGCACAGGTGT